AGTTTCCAATTTTGCCATAAACACATCGGCCAAAAGGGGACCTAAGGGAGATCCCATCGCAATCCCGTTCTTCTGGCGGTACGTCACTCCATTGAACTGGAATTGAATACTATACGTACATACGTAGATTAGATTGCGAAGGTCTTCGATGAGTAAACCAATATTCATACATCTGCGTTCAAGCTGTTTGCATAGGTAGTCTATGGTCTCTCCAAGAGGTACGTTAGTGAATAGAGACGCCACATCTAGAGAAAGCATGTGCTTTCCTGGAACGTCCAGCGATTCAATAGCGTCCACAAATTCAAAGGTGTCCCTCAGGCTATAGGTTGCTAGTTCCCCTCTGACGGGCTCCAAGATTTCATCTAGCCATTTCGCTATTCCGTGGTAAGGTGAATCGTGCATGTCCAGTATCGGGCGCATAGGCAATCCTTGTTTGTGCGGTTTAGATAGGCCGTAGAGTCGTGGTATGTGCGTACCAATTGGCCTTATTCTTTCAAAAGTGCTGGAGCTTATTATCCCGTCCTGTTTCAGTTTTCTAACGGTTTTAGACAATCCTTTCTCTCTCTCTATATATATATAACTGAATCTCCTGGTTAGGCGACAAAACGAGGAGAAACCGACTACACACCAGGACTAAATGATCGCAGCGGTTTCGTTGAGGGGTAAAAGTGAAGGTGTACTGCTTGCAGATGAAGTCAATCCACATGTAATTAAGAATTACACCGCTCGGAATAACCAGGGACTAGGTGCTTGATTGAGAGCCGACAAATGTTTGATTTAATAATTCAAACTATTGGCATAATGTGAGAAATGAGCACCAGAAAGACAAACTCTCTTTCACCAAAGGAAACAGTTTAAAAAACCCCGATTATCCTTTGAAGGTGGGTTTCCCGTCAGTGATTTTATTGAAATAAGTATGATAAACAGCGCTGGTGATGCGCATTTTTAACCTTACTTTAGTACAATAAATAGAATTTGTCATTTTTCAAAGATCTTTTACTTGAGGTGATAAAACTACTTTTAACTGGTCATCACCGTGTCGTGACCAGCTTGATGATTGGCTTCTACTTCTGCTGAAAAGTCGCGTAATTGACATGTTTGAGCCCAACACCGTTGCCGCACTGCTGCATGAGCTGACGATCTTCGATCGGTTTTGGCTACACACTTAATTGCAATTTCATACAATGAGTTATTTGATCAGCAAGTTTTGAAAAATATTAACCGATAACCTACGGCTCAGCATACATACCACTAGTGATTAGGTCACCAAATTGTGACCTGGGTTCGAACCGCTCCACCGCCGTCCGTCTTCCCGATTTCTGTATTTTCCAAGGTATCTTTTGTATGGCCGCGACCCACTTCCTTAAAGTTGACTGTACACTTGTATATTCAATAAATAAAAAAGCAAGAAAACATTTATATAATTAGGTAATTCTTCTGTACCGCTAAACGTATTTGTATGACTCGGCCAAGTGCCACGCTAAACAGATTTCATCGTTTCCAAATGATCTGCGTTTATTACTTCCACTGGGGTCATGCTAACTGATCGCCCTTTTGTATTGGGAGCGATTTTACTGACATTAAAAGGTGAAACGTTAGCCTTCGGGGCCATGACCGGTTAATGAGCAATAGGGAGCTAGCTTCTTCAGAGGAAGTCGATAAGCTTTTACTGATTCAGTTATTTGAGGCAGATATGCAATAACCTACGGGACCAGATTTTGGGACGTATTGGGTCCTCAGGATGTAGACAATCCATTCAAAGGGCGTAATAATGTATTTGTATCGACTTGATCAGAAAAACTAATCACGCTACAGGTTTTGCTCCGGTTCGGTTCGATTAAGCTGTGCACCCACGTGACTCATTGCACAGATTACCTTCGAATGTAGTTTGCCCATCATCATGCTCCGATTTGGTCCGACGACATACTTTGTACTTCGTTGTTATTATTCACATACCACCTTTAAGCGTTCCTCGTCCCACTCATTCGTGCGTCATCTACCCTTATCGTCCTTGAACTCTCGCTGTTCCACTCTTGCCACTCTCGTGCGTCATTACATATGAACTACCCTGGATCCGTTCCCCCACCCCCGTTTGTTTCTAATACATTGTCATCCCGTACTCTTTAAGTTGACCTTCATGTTTGATCATTCGCTTCATTTGCTTAGCGGACTGCTTTGTTTCATAGGAAACCGTAAACCGTTTGTGTCTTACATTGACCCAATGATTGCACTTCATTATCGAGCGATTGGTGTTTCTATCCCTTAAATCGTCCCGAGTTTGCATTCCTTTTGGTAACCGCTCTGCAGGTGTTTGGTTCTGCGCCCTGACCTGCATTGTATCTTGTTCTTGTACCGTGGAGACCCGATTGGCCCACAATTTGAGGTATGGTGTTTGTTTTTGTAAATATTTGTCTGCTTATAGTACACGTAGATTACCGACTTCTCGTTATCTGGAATCGGACTTAGGGTTCGTATCTACGAGTCACTCAACTACTGGACGACAGTCCGGTACAATATTTGTCACGGAATTAACCTCTACTGGATAGCGGAATCAAAGCATTGTATCAACATCCGATGAGGCTCAGTATCCTATTCATGGTGCAGGTGACAGGCAGCGACACAGCTCATGAACACCTCGCATACGCATCTAGTCTCAGTGTTTTCAGTTAAATTTCCATTTTCTATATTTTTAAACACATTTTGCTAATCAAGCTTGACTTTTCACATTCCAAATGACTTTATGTTTGTTTCTTGCTTGATTCAAGTACAACCTACCCAACGAAACGGTTCATTTGGTGCGGTGATTCGGATCTACGAGATCACGCCTGCCCTGGAGCAGCGCGGTACAGTTTCCAG